GTACGCGAAATGGTACGCCCAGTATAGCAGCGATCTATTCATGTTTATGTTTACAATTGTGCAACTTTTTTTTTTACAGGAATTTGATCACATATGCTTAAAAATATTGTTATACTGATGTTAAAAAATATTTTAAGACACTGAATCGCTGGCTGTGATGTGCGGCAGTGTACGTACGCCGCGTAGCGTGCCAGACATTGGCCGTGCAAGCCTATAGAATGCCCCACTTGCGACATAAATTTCTGAGGCTTATCGTGCGCATCGTGCGTATCCACGATTATTCCCATCGTAAACATAGTCACTGGGATCTGAAATGCATGCATACAGGATAATTTCCCTTCTTCAGCGGGAGTTTTGTTTATGTTTTGATCGTACTCGTCAAACTGCCACGCTGGTCTACGCTGCGCGCTGGTCTCGGCTGCACTTCCGGGTTCCATAAATCGACACCATAAATCGACAAAGAAACAAATATTTCCCCCCAAATTTATATTAATTGTGCACTTTTTCACTAGATGTGGCTATGCAGTCCTGGAAAACAGCGTTTAGTGCATATTTTCAAACAGAAAAATCGCGTCCCCGCGCCCTTCATGTTGCCGCCCGGCGATCTCAGCTGAAGCGAACAACCAATCAGAGACGCGTAACGCGGATACGTCATGTTTGCATACCGCCCGCCCACCGCTTCTGCTGGCTGCTGCCATGCTAGCTACGCGCCGTACTTGTGCCATGCTAGCTACGCGCCGTACTTGCCGTATTTCTGGAAATAAATGCCGCGACACGAAGATCTAGCGCTGACTCGGCTTGCACCCAGCGTTCAGCGTCACCCGCGCCATTACCCCCGCCGTCATTGCTGCGCCGTCACCCAACGTTTTTATCGGAACCAGACACCCCTCTGTTTGACCCCTTTTAAATGGTAAGACCCAAAACTGAAACCTCCCCATTCCTTAACAACATGGTAAATTCCATTTTCAGCATGGCGGGGGTGTCCGGAGCACTTAAAAACCTTTTATTTCCACGCCCATAAACACATATACAATTAAACAAAAACGTTCTGCATCATCTGCAGCCCAACAGCAATACGTATACCGAACCACAGACCAATCCGTCCAGCCGATCGCGAGAAACAGCTGCTGACAGAAATGTTTCGAACAATAGTAAAACCTCCTCGCGGAAGGATATCTCCTTCCCCGGAGGTAACAAAGATGAAGCTATATGCAAAGACACGACAATTTTGATAAGACGATGTAGGCAAGGTGAAAATATTTACAATGTCTTGTCAATTCTCTAGCCCCTTCTTCTTTCTTTCTATCTTAATCCTGCCCATTGTACCTTTGCCTATCACAAGTTGCTGTCCTCCTTAATTGATCCAAAGCATCGATAGACTGCCTTACATATACTTGGTGCATCATCACTTACATAAATACTTTGTCTCTGGTGGAAACTTGCTCAGTAGCCACGTCTTATTGTAGACCAAATGATGTATCAGTGCGTCGTATTTTTCCTCCGGCATGTGGACGTACTCATTCTCTTTTGGGGGGAACGGCCAGCTAAGAGGACCCTGGCCTATCGGCATTAGGACCTTCAGTTTGTTAAAAATGGCGAAACGCTGAAAGATGTTGATAGTGGTAGAACTGCCTGTCTTGTGGGTCTTTATGAAAACGAATTTCTTATGTGGAACACAAGACGCTGGAGCGCTTTCTTTAACTTGCCCTGCAGTTGCACTCGGCTCTTCTTCATCATACCTAGAAGAAAATATGTCTTCGAGTGAATTTCAAGAAACACATGGCAAATAAAATGGCGTTAAGGTTTGTTTACATAATGGTACCCCGTTTGTTTACATAATGGTACCCCGTTCTAAAGCCAACCTTCCCCGAAGGCAAAATACTTCACAATGCCTAGAATAGATTAGGTCTACTCTTAGTAGTTATGTTTGGGTTACGCAAACTGTAATTAATCACAGAGAAAATGTTATGTGAAGCTGATTAACAGCAAAAGACGTCAATTTTACGCCTTGTCACTTCTGTACGCATAAAAAAGAAACGATTTCAGACATCACAAACGTCGATGTTTGACCTTCTATATATACATGTAGTTTTTTTTTTCGTACTGAACCAGGTCACACTGTCAACTGTTCTCACGATCATATCCATGGATTTTCTCACCTATGATTGTCGTTTGCAGGTAGGTTAGCTTGGGCTCTGTCCTTCCGTTCCCACGAGCCGCCATGGGATAAATTTGACTGGTGAACTGTGATCAAAAGCAGCGTAGTGAACACTCCCAAGACAAGGCCGTAGGAGAGAAGTGTCCTAAGGGTCATTCTTGTTTCTCCCTCGGCCCTGGAAGTAGAATGGAACGTACGTTGTAACTTATTTTACCCTGACGACGAGGAAAAACTGATCAAAAAGGTAAACAAAGCCTGTGTATACAAAATGAAGCGTTCACCTTTTCGCTCATTTGGGGTTATTGATAGTTATGGTGCTACTCGTCGAACAAGTTTTTTGCACAAGCATGAGTCACCTCCAAACTTATAGGGGTCGATGCAACACTTCTCAAGTGTTTCCTTGTCGTGAAAACGTACATATTTCGTTAAGGTTGTCTACCTTACCGTGTGATTTTTACTTTATATGATATTCCTAGGATCACAACAAGCGAAGTAGTGTACAGTTAACCAATCAAGTCAATGTCCCTACTCGTTGGTACCCTATATCCCTACCTATTTAAGCAATGGATAGAGCTTTCGTACCCGACCGGTCACTGTATGATGTACATTGCGGAAATCTGGCTAATCACAAAATTAGGGGGAAATGGCATCGTTGAAAAGGAGCCAGGATCACATATAACAGACTCACTGAATGCTATGTCTGGGCTACACCATTCTTGGTCTCAATCCCTGTATATTCAATAACTCCAAAATGTAAGCATGTCACTGAAAGTGTCCTTCCATGGAGCGGCAAAAACAGGTGTTTTAGTGGTGTTTGTGTGTGTTAGTGTATGTTTGTGTGTTCGTGGGTTAGTGCATATGTTTGTGTTTCAATCGGTGTACACAATGTACATGTGTGCGTGCTGGGAGACGTCTACTCTTTCTGACTGACTACATGTTTGATACCGTTTCAATGATCACCCTAAAATTGAAGGAAACACCATAGCATTAGAACAGAGACACAACGGAGATGTTCCATGAGAATAAACAACCAGCTTTAACAAATAATCACAGTGAACACTATCTGTAATGTTCAATAACAAGATATTAGTGTACACGGTACTTATACATGTAACACCCCCTGGCCTCCTCCCTTAACAATCTTGGTACAGAAAGTATATAGCGAACCTACATACTAACCAAATAGAAGTTTAAAGTTTACTTTTGAGTAGAGATATTCTACTCCCAAAACTATCAGAGTAGCTTGCTTTTACATGTTGCACAAGTGTCCATACGTAAGTATTACTTAAAACAACAATGGTAACAACGCTCAATGAATCTAAAACTTACACACATAGTGTAGTAATATATGACCTTATAGTTATATAAGATGTTCACTTCTAATCGATCTACCAATCTTAGCCATCTTTGATATGTTGCACAAATGCCCATACATAGGTATCATGTAAAACAACAAAGGCAATATGGATGTAAAGGAATCTAAAACCTACATACATCTAGTAACAGAAACCTAGAAACCTAAAAGAAGCTTAAAACAAGGTCTGTTGTGACCTTCAGGTGAGCTAAATGATATACCATCTAGAAAGAAAACTAGAAACGTAGTTATGTTGCACTTTTGCAAATAACACTGCCTTTGCAAGATATGCTTAAGCATCAGTTCTTCAGTACAGTAGCTAGTGACACCTCTTTGGTGACACTGTCTAATGCACTCAGATATCTTGTCTCAAAATCTCGGTAGTTTTAAAAATGTTAAGAAACCCTTCAGCATAAAACGTTGTAACCTATATATAGGTTAAACAACATATAGGAAGGAAAATAGAAACGAAGATATGTTGCACTTTTGCAAATAACACTGCCTTTGCAAGATATGCTTAAAGCCTCAGTTCTTCAATACAGTAGCTAGAGACACTTCTTTGGTGACACTGTCCAATGCACTCAGATATCTCGTCTCAAAATCTCGGCAGTTTTAAGAATGTTAAGAAACCCTTCAGCATAAAACGTTGTAACCGATAGGTTACACAATACATCATCTAGGAAGGAAACTAGAAATGTAGCTATGTTGCACTTTTGCAAGATATACTTCACGACTTCAGTACAGTAGCCAGTGACACTTCTCTGGTGACACTGTCCAAGGCACTCAGATATCTGGTCTCGAAATCTCGGCAGTTTTCGCTAAGGAGTATCACAGAATCCCTCTGGAGTGGTTTGAAGTGATGCTCATTGAAGTTGGCACTTGTCACAAGGATCTCAACGTGGTTTTTGAACCTCCCCGCGGCGAACTTGCAGTGGAAGTACGCTTTTCCGTCGGTCTCTCTGTCCGTACCGACCCTGAGACAGCGTATCCGGTCAGCCTCGCTTGTTGAGAAGACCCCCTGCATTGCCTCGGCCAGAGAAGTCTCCCTCCCGCCGGTGTCTGTGAAACACGGGTCCCGGATGTACAGAGCCTGGATGGACGACTGTTCTGTCATCAGACGATTCTTGATGTAACCTTAGATAAAAGCAAGTACTGAATTATAGATTTTTCACAGCTATGAATATTCTTTTTTCATAATGTGCTATGGTTAGCAATACCCACTTGATTGTACATGCACTTGGAAAGAAACAATTTAGTGGGCAATCAATGGCTCACAGCTGCCAACTGTTCTTTCTCAATTACAATGAAGGAGGTGTCAGTGGACTCTGACTTTGAAAGACTGCAGGCCGTTGTTGTTGATGTTACCCACAATGGTGTCTTGGCAGTTGTATACATGTATATTACAGTCAAACCTGTACAAGTGAATACCTCAGTCCTGGTAGATGTAACCTCTTTCTGGTGTTCGCTTTGATAACTTTTCCCATTGAGAAAAGTATCCATTATTATCATTAAGTATTATGTGACTGTTCTATTGATAATGTTATATTATTACTCAAGATACTCTATGCCTGTATAGCAAGCTGAATACCATCCAGTGTAACACACCAGTTTTAATGTAATGACAGTCAGAGTAAAGAAAATGACTAACTAACTAAGGCTTCTTCTAGATAGCCTATTTACCAAACCTATTTTTGCTGCCAATTCACCAATTTGTGGAGAGGACAAAAGAGACTCATCAGCTAAAATAGGTTTGTTAACCAGGCTACTATTAGTATCATATTGATAAACTGATTGTGAAAAAAGATGTGGTTTTACCGATGGTTTTCTTGTCTATCCATGGAGAGACGATGTAGACCTGTGCTCTCTGCTCAAACCACGACTGGAGAAGGTTGGACCACAGACGCTTGATGTCATCACCTTTATAGATCCCAGGCCTGAAGGTCGACAAGGCCTCTCTGAAGGTCAGCGGCTGAAAATGTAATAGAAAAGAGAGTGGAACAGGTAAGTTAAAGACTTAAAGTAAGCATATTTTGGCCATGATCAAATATCACATAAATTGCTTATCATACAGACGCAATTTGACTTATGATTGCTATTGTGTTAGACAGTAGGACTACATACTACCTTACTTATACTAGTATAATTGCCTTGGAAAGTAAATTGTATATTGTTGTATCTCACTACTAGAAGTGTCTTGTGCAACATGTGAGTGGACTTTGATAAAAAAAACTTTGTGAGAAAAAAAATTGTGAGACTGTTACTAACAGTAACAACATTTTATGGAATATGACAGGCATGCTTGTACAGTCTGCTACTCTAAATCAGGAATGTAAAGTCAGTATCTGTAACATTGAAAAATGCTCAAGTAATTTGAATACCCAGGGTTTGCCATCCTTGATAGTTACCATATTGTCACAGGCTACCATAGATTGGTTAGGGTTTGACAAATGGATCCGGAAGACCTGGTGACTTTTGACCTGGACCCTAGGGCAGCCAGTGACAATAGGTAGTTGATGATATCTACAGAGGATGGCAACCAGGCTGCTTTTAAAAGGATTGAGTCTTTTAAACAACACTACTTATACTTTACAAAGATAAATACATGAAGAACAAACCCGTGTTATCTGTAAGTCTGACAATGCCTCAGCAAGATCATCAGTGTTTCCAGTCTTCACTTTACTTGTGACGTGTTTTCCATTCGAGCGATCGGAATCAGATGTCCCATTTTTGGGTGGACGTTTACCGGAGTCACGTGACTGCCCCCTGCCTGCTCTGGGCACACTCTGATTGGCTGCTGACTGAGCGGCTCCGTTGTCGATGACCCTGATAACACCACAACGTACGACAGCTTCGTACTCCTGAGGAGGGCTGTTTGAATCTGAAGCAAAGACAGACGAAAACAAGGTTGACTTACTGTCACTGACAACACAATGCGAAATGCATTACTTAATAGCTGCTCACATATTCACAAACTTCTTTAGTTTACTTGGCCTATAATCCATCCTATTCAAGCCATGTTTTCTCCCAGGATTGTTGTCCTTTGCATGCGACTTATAGTAGAGAAGTAGAGCATACAATGTAGCTAGTAGTAGAACATATATAGATTGCAGGCTACAGTTTTCTATGAATATAAAGGAATACGATTACATTTGTTTACATGTAAGCCTCATTGCTACATTTTTACTTACGAAATTCATCCATCCATGCCCGGGCCTCTACTTCAGAGTGGAAGCCCTTGTATCTGGCACTGCTGAATCCATCTATCTGTTGTTTGGTCTGGGACCTGAGGAAAAAAAACACTACTTGTCAGTAATCCGTAGTTATTTTATTGCAGTTTAAATGATTTACTAGTATATAGACATGCAGTCTCTAGTAATGATAAACAATCAAGACAGCACTGGCAGTAACCATGGGCTTACTCTGTAGCCTTTTACACTTACATGTAGGGCTGGGTACCGGTTCAGCTGGACCTGTTTGGACCTGAACAACATTCAAGAACCGACTCCAAAAAACCTAAACGCAAAAACCTGATCATCTGACCTGATGTACATTTCTGTTAATTTTAGAATTAGAGTACATTTTAGTAGACTGTACAGACATCTTTAGGTAATCTGGTCATGGCAAGTGAAAAAAATAACCATGAATCAAACTAGATTAGCCTAAATCCATGTTTGTCTCTTCTGTAACAGTGGGTTCCATTTTAGGTCGACAAAAAAGTTCACGGACCATGAGGTTTGTGGTAGTACTGAGCGATAGATATCATCAAGGCATATGACCCCATACACGCACTCAGTTAAATTGCTCCTACTACTGTACTTCAGTAATAAGGTCCAGGTTTAGGTCCGGACCTGGACCTGATCCTCTGAACCTGATCCGTACCTGGACCTGAATTTTCTGAACCGGTACCCAGCCCTACTTACATGTAGTCTCTATTGAACTTAGCCTTGGCTTGGTTTGTGTTTCATACATGTGAGACACCTGCAGAAAGCCATTCGGTATTTTTTTTTTCAAATTGGATAATGGTTATACATGTGTACCACAACTGGTGAAAGATTTGATATTCGACCCGTACCAGTCTGTATAGATCCCAGGTTGCCTTCCCCGTGCCACAGCGTAGTGGGTGAACCTGTTCTTTGGCATTCTGTTTTAAGTCGCTGAAATATCAAAGTTTTCATATTAAAGATAAAAGCAAGGTCCAAATTGCATTATGCAGATAGTGCCTATTCTTAAACTAATCAGGTCTTGTTATAAGGCACCGACAAAGGAAACAAAAAACACAACACACTCACAGAGAGATTCTATGCAAATCAGCAATACACATCTTTGCGTCACCCTATCAAATTATATTATCATAATTGGTCATGAACGTCTACGGTGTGGACGTTCCAAAGAGAATTGCATTCAATGATGTAATACAATATATATATAGAATCATATACAAGCATATACATACACTGTATACACATTGTAAATGTATAGTGTCCTTGGTATTACTTCATAACAATCCCGATCGGAAGGTGTCAAAATGCTGCATATTCAAACCTGGCGCCATCGCACGCCTAATTACTATAGTAAATGGGGGGGGCAGCTTTCAATCCTTGCCCCTCTACGGTCTACGGCAAATATATAATTTCTACAACATATCCTAGAGGTGCAAAACATTATTAAAAACCCTGTATACTTACAATGTGAATACGGGCGTCAGATATAAATGAGTTTTCGGAATGTTTCACTAAAAGAGCACGCCACCCCAACCCGGAAGTGACTGACCCCTGCCGAGCTGCTGCACTTGCGCAGTGGGGTGGTAGAAGCGCCACCTTGCAAGACTATGATAAACTGCACACTGAAGTACAAAATGTATTTTACCTCGAAGCTGTGATGTCGAAAACATAGTTAGAAGGATAAGGCCATGTTGATTTGATTATATGGATGACATCCACGCGCGCATGAATTTTCGCCCGTTTCCAAAAAAAAAAATCGGCCATACTGTAAATCGTACAAATTTAAAGCAGTTGCAAAATGAGCAAATATAGGCCGCAAACTGCAAAAAAAGGGAAAACAATACTTATGTCGCAGAATGCAAAAATCCATTCCAAAGGAAAAGAAGAAAATGTGAAGGAATGAAAATGAAGAGTCTATTATTCACCATGCCAATAAAATATTGCTTTGTGTGTTAAGTCATTTGTTCAACCTTCATGTTCATGACCACCTAGATTTCTGAATGAAGGCAAGTTTTTTTTTTATTCGCAGGATCGCATCAGTTTTTGTGTTCCCAGTAGATGTCATCCATATAATCAAATCAACATGGCCTAACTTAATTATCTAATGAGAAAATGCAAATTATGGTGATTCCGTATCAGGTGGTAAAACCACGCTGCTGCTCAGAGCAAGATGGCGAGTCACGGTGCTTGGACAGGGAAGAACTCGGTGGTTAAAATTCGTCTTTTAAGACGAGCTACGTCTGTTTAAAAGGAGGTGAGTCGCATCTAACATTGTCCTCTATGTTCTCGTAACTATTTGGGCCGAACTCGTTGCAAATCGTTGGGGTCTTGTGGCAAAGCAGAGCGTTCGGCTCAGAACCACGAGGTCCGGGGTTCGAACCCTGCCATGTCTCCGAACTTGTGCCTTTGGTAAATGCACTTTACACGCCTTTCCTGGGTGGAGGCCTGGCGAACACCATCTCGTATTATCCGCAAAAAGGCAGCAGTACCTTCAGCTAGTTGAAGGTGGCCGCCTCACAATGAAAGAAGAGATGAAATTAAGATAAAACGCAAAATGGCGTAAAATATTTGCGCCGGTGACGATTCCCTGTGTTTAAACCTGTACTTAGAAAAAGCCGCCGTTCGCGGACGTTTTTTTCATGTCCGGTTTGAACTAACATGACTACATCAGATACGCTCGTTTCTTCCTCTGTTTTCTGAATTTTTTATAGCGTGGTATCCGTTTGATCGTGGTCGGGGCCGCAAGAGCTCTGTCCCGCCCGCCTCACATAGCTTTCCCGGTGTGTATTTCACGAGAGATTGATTAGCCCTCCACGTGTTGGGGGGAAACCAAATCCCAAGCATACTGTCTCTTATTAGCGTAACACTCCTACTGGGACGGCCTGTTGCACTGGGCGGGGGAAGCTATCAGAGCCCCCGAAGGCACAACCTGCCTGAACACCCCCAATCACGTAAGACTGGATACCAGGCTAAATTTTTTTTACTGATTTATATGCATTATGTAAGCCATCTTTTCCCATTATGTTCTGTCAATATAATGACTCCTCTTTTTTTAACAGGCGAGAATCAATGCGCGCGCAGATGTCATCCATGAAATTAAGTCCGTGTGCGACGTGGTCTTATAATAATGAAAATGTGAAGAAAATAAAATCTTACATGGTGATACGAAATTAGTTTTCTGACACTTAGGCCACAGCAAGTAAATTTTATGGATGACATATCCTCAGCAGGCTCCAAGTCTAACGCGATAGGGCTAAAAAAAAAACAAGGCGGGCTAAAAAAACAAGATTCCTACATTTTCACATTTTTTCCAATTCTTGATTTACATACCAACATTACAGACATACAATATAGAATTATAATACACCTGAATTGCACCCCCCCCCGGCTACGGGCATGTAATACGCCATTTTACATTATAAACCTTGTTAAGCAAGAAATGATACCTGATATTGTGGTAGCCTGGCATGGCCTGGCCTGTACCTGAGTTTCCGTAAACCCTGTTGTTCCTTTGTGTTAATCCTCGGAAAATGTATAAGACTTGATGAAATGTAGATCTTGTTGATATGCAGGCTTCAATGTACTATATACTGTATATACATGTACTAAAATACATCAATCCCTCGCTTTTCCATTGGTGTACTGTTGTGCCAAACAAGCTGCAATACTTAATACATGCTGCTATACTTAATACATAGAATTGATGGTGAGTTCAGCACCAAGGACAGCTCCACACTAAGACCGCACAACACAGTATTTATGGGCGAACCCCTCAAAAGTAGTCCGGGCACAAAGTAGTGCTGCATAATAATAGAGAAAGGTACAGAGACTGTTCTGTGCATGGCATTGAGATGGAACCTGTGGTAAATATTAGAGGAATACGTCAGTTTTGAGACTGTAAAAGTTGAATTATGGTGCGTGTTCAGTCGGCGTAGATTTGCGCTTGGATACTTGTCCCGCCTGTGTGCGTCGGCAGCAGTTCCATGACCTTTGACACTTGGGGTCTCCTAAGTGTGCGGCGCGGCGTGTTGTGTGTGAATTCTCTCCAACTTTTGAGGTAAATTTTCGGCTTTTTGCCCGCAAATTATCCGTCTCAAGTGTACAGTATATCGTCTGGACGTTTTCATGTCGGGTGTGTGCCGTTCTTTGGATGTTTAAAGGGAGAAAATACGTATTTTTCCTGGCGCTAGCGGGCGGAGTTTGGAGACTGGTGACGAAAATGGCGACTGCAAAATTATGGAGGCGTTGTGTTGGAAAAGACTCTTAGCATGACGTAAAGTTAAACTGTTATCATAAGAAATTAGCACCTTGAATGTACATGTTTGTACTTCCAACAAACCTGTAGCAACAGACCACGTTATAATTCGTTTGTAGAAGTTCTTAATTAATTATTTCTGCATTTTATACACCATTTACATGGCATCATTTGAGGCAAGTGTGTAGCTTTTATTGTCTGTTTAGCTAGGTGACTGCTGACCGACCCAGTACATTCATTTACTGAAGACTGCTGTCTGAACCTGACCACAATTTGGATGGAACTAGACCAGACTGGGGTATTGGAAGACCCAAGAAGAATGTTATTTGAGAAAAATACAAATTCTACATATGATTTTATTCACCATTTACTTGGCATCTTTTGAGACAAGTGTGTAACCGGCTCTATTGTCTGCATACTTAGGTGTCTGCTGACTGATGCAGTAGTGAAGACTGCGGTCTGAACCTGACGACATTGGATTGAACCAGTCCAGACCCTGCCTGATCCGAACTGACTGAAGACCCAAGAAGAATATCAGGTAAGAAAAATCTAAATTCTGCATTTTTATCGGATCCACAGTTTACATGGTGTTATGATAAGTGTGTAACTTCTTTTGTCTGTATAGTTAGGTGACTGCTGACTGATGCAGTAGTGATGACTCCTGTCTGAACCTGACGACATTGGACTGAACGGACTTGAACCAGACCAGGTGATCTAAAGACGCAAGTACAATATCAGGTGAGAAAAATCTTAAGTCTTCATTTTATTAACCATTAACTTGGCATCATTTGAGACAAGTGTGTTTACTAACCTCTATTGTCGGTATAGTTCATCATCATCGGTCGGCTGCAGCGCAGGCGACTGCAAGATCCCTCCACTGCGGTATAGTTAGGTGGCTGCTAACTGATCCAGTAGTGACCTGTGTGAACCTGACCCGGCCGAATTGGACCAGACTAGCTGCTTTGAAGACCAAAGAGCGAGATTGCAGCGTCCATAGGTGAGACAAGCGTTTACAAGATTCATATATTACTCTGCAACTTAAAACTTGACATTTGATAAAGCAACTAGTAACCGTAGCAATCAGCCTTACATATAATCTTATCAGGTTGTGAAT